GAAGTTATTACGTGATACGACCAGTATGTGAACATCCGAAAGGATTTGAGCGACATATTTTTAAACAAAATTATGCGAAATAAAAAATCCAAATATTTCAGCTGGCTTCTACCATTGGAATTATTATGCGTAATCATTTATGTGATAATGTGATTTGTGCATATCAGCATACTACACCTTACTGGCCCAAACGGCTTGGTAGCAAGTGGCGTCAGTTTCCGTCCACACGATCAGCGGATCAATTTCCAAATCGAGTATCGCCTTGACGAAAAAGACCGATATTTCAGAAATCGTAAGGTCATTTGGTACCGGACCTGCTACGTCGACTTCGCCTAACGAGACTACAGGGGTGTCAAAAAAAGACACTTTGCTCATGACTCATATTAGCAAGCTTTAGCTCGCACAGGCTGGCGCGATCGATGGAAACGGCAAAATATTCCTGAAATGTCCCCCCATACGCAGATGCAAGCCCCTATTCACTGCCCTTATCGTCTTCAGAATATGACGTCATCTGTAATCGCCGTCGAGCTCAAGGAGTCTTCCTTAATTGCTCCGACCTGAAGCAGCTTAATGACTCCTTCAATCGGTTGGCCTACGGGTATCTTGAGCTCCGAATCTGCAAGACCCCTTCCGACCAGAGTTTCGAATAGCGTCGTGACGGTCCATGATCTGTTATGGACCACGTTGATCTCGAACCGGACACAAGGTTCCCATGGCAAATCCCCTGATGTTGTAGGTGAAGGCTGGCGCGATCGAAGAAGAAGAAGGCTACTATAATGTCCACTGATGGATTGAATGTGCTCTTCAATCTTCAGTTGTGAGGATTCGGCTTGAATCTTGTGGTTAGCGCCGTTTTGAACGTGGAGTGGAATGTCTCCTCCTTTTTGGCCACACCTGTGTACGGCACTATCGCATTAAACGCAGCTATGATTCTGGCTACAAGTAGAATGAACGGCGCCTACCAAAAAGCGAGTCATCGAGTTTGAGCGCTTCTATGTTCTGCAATTGCACTGCATCCAGCTGTATCATCATTTGCAGCATGCCGTTAGTGGGAATAAGCCTACGCGAGAAGCAGGGTAGAGCCAGGCCGAGACCTCAATTCCAAAGGAGTGTATCCCATGTCGGATTATACCCTATAAGATCACATGAGAATGAATATTCAGTCCTTTTCTTCCTTTGAATAGGAGGGTTTTCCAACGCGGTCACGTGCATTTGTGTCGGGCCCCTGCCACATATATTTGAGCGGTTAGAGAAGTCAGCGCTTCTCACCCTTCCAGGCGAGTACGGCGTCTAGTACCACCGGGGGATGGAGGACGGCCTAAAGGCGAATGGAGCCTGGATTCCATCGACCGACAAACTTCCTGTGTGGTAACCACCAAAAATTAATCATTACTCCATCATCGTTTATGCGATTAATTTTATTATAGAATAAATGAAAATGTTGTTAAGAGAGCATTTCTTACTAGTCTGTCAACACAGTCTTAACGTCGGTTGTTCCACAGTAAGTTGAACTGAATTCTTTCCGCAATCGGGATCCATCATCAAACGCGACATCAATGAAGTAGTACTGAAAGACACTTAAATGAAGGATTGGATAAAGGGTTCCTTGTAGCTATTTGGAACAAAAAACGATTTAGAGATATTTTAAATTGTTTTTGTTTGTTTGTTTGTTAACCGCTTAGAGGGAGAGCTTCCGAAGATGAACAAAGAAAACTAGTGTGAGGAGTGTGATAACCAAGGGCGACGAAGTTTTCGGCCAACTCCTTCGTACAACTCAGTACGTTTTCGGTCGAGACTACCCTAATGGGACTATCTGAGCTTGCTGTCGTCATTCCGTTGAAAAGCACGAATATTGGCCCGAGAAGCAAGTATCTGGCGGCTTTTTAGAAGGTCGTTTATGATGAAGCCTCGATAGTGTCTGGTGCTCTGAGATTCACCGTTTTTGCACACGATAAGAGACTGCTCCAATGCAGATCTCCTATTGTACCCAACTCAAAAGGAGGAGAAAGTAGAAAGGTTCATCCAAGCGTTAAGATGCGAATAAGCTGAGAACTCGACGAATGCTCAGCTCTTGGTGGCTCTACCTTGCAATGGTGAACGGCCCCCGATTATGTAGCATGGTAATGGCTGGGTACAACAGAATTGCAGGAAAACACCACTGATGGTGAAGGCGTGCGAAGACGAAGGGGTCATTTTTAAGGTCGGCTCAAAGGCGCACCCCACCATAAAATTGCTCTGATTTTTGATGCGTAAGCAGAGACGCGAAGTGCGCGGTCAGTAGAAAAAATAGCAGAGATTTCCAAAAAACCCACACCTATCAAGGCCTCTCTCTTCATTAGCAGCTTGGGAGCCTCGTCACTATACCAACAGATGATGGGTGCTGAACTTCCGAATATTCAGAAAAAACCGTTTTTTCTATGGCTGCTGCCGTTTCAAGGGCACTGCCTCACCATGGTGTGGTCACTGTCTGTCAAATAATTCGATACTACCTGAAAATAACGTGCAGAGTCCAGGTCAGGTTTCGGATGGGTGGATCATGGGTCAAGAAGCACAAACAGTGAGATAGCTTTCACACACTATGGCGGCGGCACGCACCGGATTGGTGATGCCGACGTGCCGAACGTCTTCAAATTCGGTTACGTATCAAGCCGCAGACGAGAAAATGGTGTAGAAGAGTGTTGCAGCAAAGTTGCTATCTCGAATTCGACAAGATCTTCACGGTGCGGCAGACGTTCTAAATGGGACCTGATGCCTCAATAGAAAAATTCGAAACTGCTTCGTAAAGAAGCCTGAAGAACAGCATAACTTCGTATAGCAGAGCAATTCAAAGCTGTCCGCATCTTAACCCTTTGAACGACCGTGTGGCCCGCCGGTGGGCCACACTTTCGCTCGGTGGCGACACGTTTTTAGGGGTTTATTTTGGCATTTTTTATGTTTCAAAACTACACAAATACATTATCGAATTCGCGGAATAATGCGCTAATTACTAATAGTGAAATTGTTGGAGAGTTAATGATTATTGATGAAAAAATTTAGAAAGAAGTGAAGTGACGCATTCATAACGGCGGTCGTCAAAGGGTTAATGTGAGTGGAGCGATCACAAAACTGTGGGCGGCCGTATCCTCAATTGGGCGGTGTTTATCAAGAGTCCTTGTAATTCGGTTAACCAAGGTGATATAAATCGGGGAAAAGGACGGAGGTTGGCGAAGGAAGAGAGCTCAAATGCTGTTAGTGGGTGGAGCGTGCCTCGAGGTGGGTGGAGTTTGCCATGAAGCGCTATGAGAACAACGATGACAAAGTTCTACGTAACTGTAATCCTGTGTGATACACGCGAGCGCGTGCGCAGCCAAATTAGTAATTTTATACAGTCTCGGAGAACTCCAAGTATCCATAAAAAGCGTAGAAGGCCCAGTTGTAACTATGTGAACACTATCAATAAAATACTATTAAATGCTCACATTTATAGATGGCATTCCACGAACGATGATACCGGAAAATCTCTCACGTCTTGCGCTCACAATTTGTCGGCAGCGACGGCTGACCATTGACAGTGTTCGGCGTTCAGAGAAACTCAAATAGTCGGAAACAGCGCTGATGATCTCACTCGGTAGCTGATTCCAGTCGATCATCTGAAATCGTTCTCGCTAGGTGTATACTTGTTAAGCCCTAACTCAAATAACGTCGTTGGGATCCAGTTGCGGACTTAAAGGAATCGTCCCCGGAAAATTCTTGCATTCTTTCCAACATGAATATGTCAGTTGTGATCACTAGAGACAACATACAAAGTTTCACGCAAGAAGATTCGTTTCCGAAGAGAAACAAACTTACAAAAACCACACTCTATGGACGGTCGAGGGTAGGTCGGGCGGAGCCAAGGAACGCATGGAAAGAAGTGCGCCTGAGGCCACGTATCAGGCGACGCATTGAAAGAATCGGGTTGAAGCGTTGATTTCGGAGAATAGAGACAAATCGATCGATAGAATAGGATGCAGTAGAAAAGAGAAATGTTATTGCATAGGTGGAAAGGCCAAAAAGAGTTCCTAGTGAAGGCACTCCGAGAACCAAGTGGAATCGCCGCCAACATTTGTGACAGATGTACGGCGGGAATTTGAACGCGTAACAGTCCTTCGGGTTTTTCGAATTGTTTACGAAAACAAAAACATTTTTTGGTCTTCTCGTTCTTATCGTCCAGTGATTTCTGGGTGAGATAGAATCATTTTTTCGTGGACGACTCCTTTAAGGGTCACTATATGATATCACTATGATAACAATTACAATCACCTACATAACGAGTATTGAAGATAACAACTAACCACAAGATTCATTAGAGGGCACAATACTGCGGGTTAGCGCTCGCCGAACCCTACGCCTGAGAGAAGAGGATACATATTGGGTTGGAGCATAATATCGTAGCGTTTTTTTTTCGAGCTACAAATTCAGTGAATACAAGTATTACCTAGGAAATCGTGTATATCATTTGAAAGTACTTCTTCCGCTCTACAATATCTGATTTGTCATTTTCTTCTACGTTGTAGTTTATCAAATATGGCGCTCAGAAGTTGGAGAATCAAGGTGGGCGAAATCTATATAGAGAAAAAGCTGCCAAAATAGGAGTTTTTCGGAATCCATCGTCATCATCGAACCTTACTCCAGTCGACCCTCAATTTCAAATCATATTCACGTCGTACAAATTGAGAATAATGAGGACTCTGAAAACGGGCTCAGTACCCTTTTTTAAATTCTGGAATCCGGTAATTTCTTGCGAAATGGAATCAAAGTCGTAAATAATGACGAAAAAGAACATCACTGATTAGTTTCGTGCTTGGCTTTGCTTTTGGGTTTTGCTTTGAACGTTTTTGCCGAATGCGAGCGCTACAATATTATGCTCCAATCCAATTCATAATCCACTTGACGACAGCCCGAACCATATGTGTGTGCATCACGCTTTGTCGGCCGCGTGAGATATTGTGAATCATACAGTATGCATAAACATCATATATGCAAACCTTGTTACTATTTTTAGATTCGACAAATAGTCTACGATCGTGTGGTGCTAATAAAGTCGTTTTTCACTGAGGTTTTCACTTCACAAATCAGAAATCAATCTTAGGAGAAGAGTGATTCCTCAGAATTGAACTCAGAACTAGACGGGGTTCTTTGAATCGTTTTTTAGTAGTACGATTATTTTTTGAAACCGCAGGAGTAACTATTTCCATGATTGCTTCCAATATGACCCCATTACGTACAGATGAACAGTTATCTTCAGCTTGTTTATCGAAGTAGAATCACAATTTGGAGATCTCAACCCCCGTAGATTCGCAAGTGGCGTCAATTTAGGGAACATCCCGCCAACCGCCGGCAGGTTTCCCCATTTCAACCTGGCAACCCGATATACACCACTACCCTTTTTTAAGGGGAGCGGTCAACAGAATCGTCCGAGAGTGGCGCCGCCGCGCGCGGCCACTAGCGCGATGTCGCAACGCGGCACCTTTCCGATGGGCGCGGCAATTTTTGAATTTGACGATTGGAGCCCACGATAATCTATGTAGAACGCGGATATCGAAGCGAATCTGGAACGTACTTCCTTTACTCTTTCATAAGAAGTGGTGCGAACAAGTTTGTTCCCAAAGTTTATTATCGTAACATTGAAAAAAGCGGAAGAAGGACCAGAGAGAACTGGAACTACCCGCGCAATGACTGAAACTGAATTAAAGGGATGGGTCGAGTTGGTGTCCCTTTACATGAAATTCAAATGACGCTCGCAGAAACTCGTCCTCTGCAGTCGCGACGTCGCGACCACGACCAGTAGCTAGGGGCTCCGGACGATTCTGTTTACATACACCCTTTTTACTGGTCTGTTGGAACCAATTTGGACAACTTTGTCGCCGGCATCGCCCATCTGGATGCATGTCCCGCCCAGAGTTCTCATGGCCCTTGTCCGCCACATACAGCCTGCCTCATGCTCTATACCGTTGCTAAAGTTACCCGTCCTCTCCACGCGGTTTTTCAGGGCAACATTTGCAAACCTGTGGGGGGGCCGCACTTACAACTCGACAGACGACTGACAAACAAGCTGTGCGTTAGTAAATATGCGACAGCAGAATATTTGCGGCAGGAATGAGAATTCGAACCGCGATTGAGTACCAGTAATGTGACCCACTGGCATATCTTTTACTTTGTGGGTGCAGGCGAGGAAACATTTGTCTCGCTTCTTTCATTTAGTGGAGCGAAAGGACTGCTCTTCTATGCTTGTCAATGCTAAAAATGTCTTTCGGTACGGAATTTTTATGCAAATGCTTTCAATCGTTGGAAGTGTTGAGTATGCAAGCTAGTTCATACATGCAATATCTATGCACAACTGATTGGCCACAATACCCTAAAGGATGTAAAATCTATCGAGAATCAGTTTTGTAGGCGCAGCAGTGATGAAATCGGATAGAAATAACCCAGCTGGCGCTGCTTAAAGAAGGGAAGATAGGGTAAGAGGATACCACAGTGAAGCACTGACGACTCAGGGTAAAAAAAAAAGGGAGAATGGGGAAGAATATGGACGATTACCTGGTATCAGCTGGTAGCCAGCCCGATCTGAAAGCTGTGTGTTCAGCAATGGACAACCTCTTTTGAGTGAATCGGTATATTGCATTCGTCATCAGAATCAAGTCTTGGAATAGGAATTGTCTCATATGACAATGCGCTTGTATGGACCAGCATAATGGATGAGTTTTTGCCATTCGAGAGGCATTCAGGTCAAGGCTGGAAGGCTAAATGGACCTAGAAAGGGTTCCAGTCATGGACAGCATACGAGAACTAGGAGCAGGCAAATAAGCCGGCATGTAGTAGATGGAAACCAAGGAGGGCCCAAAGAACTTTTCATTGAACATAGCATAAACTACTTCGATTATTGAGGGATGTAGGTGGCTGCAAAGCGCTAACTGAATTTCTAAAGTTTTATTGACATCGGATCGTGAGAATACAATATTTATGCATTCATTTACATGATCCGACTTCAATTGGTAGTCAAGGCAGTACACTAAAGTTTCAGGTTCGGTTAAAACAACAACTCCCTAATTAAATTGGGGCGGTAACAGCAGGCAATAATCAACTTGTGAATGTCAGATCGACTGAAAATGAAAACGAAAGCAAATGCAAATTAAATTCTTTGGCGAAGACTCCATAGGGGTTCCCCCTTGAGGAAAAGGGAGGAGTTGGTGTGGTGTCGAAATTCTTGTCTCCATGGTCCAAGCAATGGACCAGGTGGGTTTGATTTAGCACCGAGGTCTTAATCCGCGTGACGTGCAATGGGGTGTGCGCGAGGTATCTCACCCATAAGTTCAGATTAGTCGCCATCAAAACATTTGGTAGGGGCACTTAGCGCCAATGTCGCGCAATTTCAAGCCGCGACAACGGTTATAGGTTGATCCTCGGCACTCTACTGAACTTCTAGATAGATTTGTGTGACCTCTTCTGAAGTTGTTGCTGTAAATCCCGAGTTTTGCGATCAGAATGCAGTCTACTGGACTCAAGGGATCCTTCGCAGGAATTTTGCATTCTTTTTCAACATGAATGTATCATCAGCTGATCACTAGATGCAATACACAAAGTTTTACGCATGAAGGTTCGGTTTCCGAAGAGAAACAAACTCACGAAAATCCATTCTATGGACATCGAAGGTAATTCGGGCGGAGCCAAAGGCGGGGCATGGAATAAGTCCGCACAGGGGCGCCTACGTATCAGGCGACGCAATGAAAGAATCGGGTTAAAGCGTGCGATTTTGGAGAGTAGAGACAAATTCGATCGATAGAATAGGATGGAGTAGAAGTGTGAGATGTGAATGCAATAAGTCAAAGGCCAGAAAGAGTTTCTAGTGAAGGCACTCCAAGAACCAAGTGGAAGCATCCCCGTCGCCAGCATTTGTGACAGATGTCCGCGGTACTTTGAACGCGTAGCAGCCCTTTCGTTTTTCGAATTTTTTTTTTACCAAAACAAATGCAATTTTCTGTGTTCTATTTCTTATTGTGGATA